GAACCCCCTCGCTCCTTTCCTGCCTCCAGAGCGGGCGTGGTGTGTCCTGCTTCCACTTCTTGGGTGTGGGGTGAGAGGATGACATCAGCTTCCTCCGCACCTGGACCCAGCCTCCCTGATCGGGAATGTGTTCTGGGGCGCCTCCAGAGCACCGGCCTGCTCGGAGGGTTCGCCAGCAGGAGCCCCTTCTTCCCTCTCTCCTGCCTTCTCAGCCCACTGGCGGGGAGACAGGGCCAGCAGGGAGTGTTGCTGAGTCCTGGAGATTAAGCAGAGGTTCTCCGCAAGGTGGGTGCCCCTATGAGACCGTTTTTTTCTGAAGTTGGTTGAGCAGGAGCTGTGTCCTGTTGCCTCAGTGACAAGAGCCCTAAGGACAGAACATGGGGGGGAGGGGGCTGTTGTGGATTTTGGGTGATGTCATTTTCTTCTGGGAGGCAGGGGTGTGGGTCGGATGCAGGGCATGGCGCCGAGGCGCAGTGGAGAGGAGGATGGGCACTTGCACTTTCAGCTGCGTGGGAATCCTGGGGGCCGGCCTGCTGCCTGCCTCCTGGCTGGGGGTGTTCAGGGAAGGTCGTCTGGAGGCAGATGACCTTACAGGTGTAGCTTATATTTAGATTTAGAGAAAGTTTAAACAAATGGGAAAAAAACACAAACCAGATCTCCCATCCTCTCTTGCCCCCAGGCTCTTGAAGGTGTGTGTCTGAGCAGCTCCTTGGGCCCTTGCGAAGGAAAGGTCTGCCCATCGGAGTGGCTCCGTTGGCTGAGCATTGTCTTGTGCACCAAAAGGTTGCAGGTTCGATTCCTGGTCAGGGCACCAAAAAAAGAAAGGTCTTTGGTGACCTTGTCAGAGAGGGCGTCACAGGCCTGGGGTTTGAAATATCAGTTTTCTAGAAGACTGATTTGCTGATTGATGACTGAGTGGATTGAATCATGTTGAGAGATGGCAGCGGTCACGGCTGGGAAATAGGTGGAGGAATTGGGGATCTGGTGCCATGGGATGCAGTGGCCGCGGGCATCTGGCTGCCGCCTGCCTGTCGCCTCCTCTCGGCTCCCACTTCTCCAGCAGACAGGGTCTTCAAGATGAGTTGGAAGACCTGAGTGCTAATCTTGGCTTTGGGGTGAATCTTACAATATGAGGTGATGCTCAGTGAAGAAGGAGAAAAGGTTGGCTCTGCCCAGGGGCATGTGGGCAGCTACTCTCTGTGAGTCTGAACGACACACAGTGCTGGTTGGGAACAGGCATTTAGGACCAGATTACAGTCAAATTGAGTGTGATGTCTCTTTCAGGTCACTATCAAGTGAGTGGTGTCTACTCACAGTCCGCATCGGACTGTGCCTTGTTTGCTCTCATTGCCCCCTTCACTCTTCATCGCTCCCTTTCTGCGTCTCTACATTCTTTTCCAGTCCTCCTACGCAGGAGAGAGAGCCTTGTGATCCTGGGTCTCCTGGTCACTGCCCAGCTTTCCTCATCATCCAAGGAATTTAGCGTCTGACCTCACGACCACATGCGTTTTCTCTTCTCCATGACCTGCCATCCTTTGCCCTGGAATCTGTAGTTTACTATGTTGTTCTAACAGGAGGGTAAATGGTCACATAGTAGCAGGTCTAGGAATAGCCATAAGGAATCTTAACACTCAGCCTTTTACTTCCATGGGGCCTTTGTGGGGTAAATGAATGTCAGGTTAAAAGCCCCCATGGCTTATGCTGAGGTAAAGCCATGGCGCCCAGGGCTGTGACTAATCCTTGCCTGTGGTCCTGGCTGGTATGAAATCCATTAGGGAGACAGGAGAGCATGAACACTGGAGCTGAGTTCAAATCCACGCTCTACCACATGCTACTTCTGTGGCCTCAGTTTCTGCATCTGTAAAATGGGGATAATAGCTGTATCTACCTCTAGAGTTTTTACGAGATATCATTGGCTTGTTATGTCTATAGCGTTTTAGCTGTTAGGCTTGGTTTTAGTCCCAGGAGGATTTGGGCAGGGGCACGACTTTGAAAATGTGAGCTGGTCTTGCAAGCAGATGGCTACGTTTAATCAGAGAAAGTTGCTTCAGGTAGGAAAGGCACTTTAGTTTCCGAGCTCCAAGTGTGCATGGGGTCCTGAAAGGGTGTCCTCAGAAGGCACCCTTTAGAGATAAATGTCCCTGAGAGAGTGCATGTGTGTGCGTGTATGTGCGTGTGTGCGCATGCGTGTGTGTCGGGGGGAGGGGGCGTTAGTGGGGGCTGTGACCTGGCCAGCTGTGAAATCCATTTGGGACTTGGGCCTTTTCCATTTAGCATCCCCCTAGGGGCTGACTGACCCCAGGTCTGATCTGGGAAAGGTCTTAGGCCATAAGTCCCTGCCCCATGGTTCCAGCTGGGACTGATGGGGGGCGGGGTGGGGGGGAGTGTGCAGGCCTGTGCATGCAGTGTGCTTTGAGGACAGCAGAGTCCCGCAGGGCTGGGGGTTAGGGCTGGGCGGAGCATGGGTCTTCCTCTTTGTGCTGAGATAATATGGTATCGCCCTGGGGCTGGTTCTGTAGAAAGGCCTGGCTGGTTCATTCTGCTCTTTGAAGAGGGAGGAAGAGGCAGCCAGAGGCAGCCGAGCTGCATTCCCAAGGGGCTTTCCTCCTGATGCTCAGTTCCACCCGGGTGATCCTGTTAATTAACCTTTTGTTGCGCCCGAAGGGAGGGAGGATGCAGGGTTAGCCCCAGTGCTGCCACCGCGTCATCTGCAAAACGGGAGGCTCCCATGGAGCAAAGCACCCCAGCTGAGACGCAGTGACAGAGCCCTGTGCTTGAGAGGGTCCGTGCTCCTTGCTGGGCTAGCACGGATGGCAGGTAGGTCTCGATGCTCCTGACGTAGCTCAGTAGACGCACCCGTTTGTTCATCATCATTTGCCAGATGGCCCTTAGGGCCCCCGCCCTTAGGTCACTTACAGTCTAGGATAGAGGGTCTGAAGCTACTCACAGTCCTGTGCAGTGAGTGCTAGAGTAGGTGTAACTCTGGGTGCTGAAGGATTATGCAGGAGGTGCCCAGGCTTGCCTTCTGGGGAGGTTTCTAGGGGCAGGTGGTGGTGGCTTCTGATCTGAACCTGAGGGTCGGATCTAAGTGAAGTGGTTGGAGCCAGTATGTCATGGGATGGATGGGGAGGAAATAATGTCCAAGCATAGAGAACATTTACAAAAGCCCGAGCCTGGGGTGTTGGCATAGGTTGGGGCAGAGGCACAGAAAACCAGGGGGCAAAAATCATAGTTATCGGAGTGATGGCAACTTCTAGATCCTTCTCCTCATAGCTGTGGTCTGTGATCTGGTAGCTTCTGAGACCTAGAACGGGGAGCGGAAGGCTGTGGGCCAGTGGAGGTGGGAGGGATGCTCTGGAACCTTTTCCTGCGGAAACAGCAATCAGGTGTACTTTCTGGGAAGGGGTGTGAGTGAGCACTGGTCCTCTGGGGTGGAGGTGGAGTGTCGGTCCTTCTCCAAGGCCACAGCCCCTCCCCTGATTTGCTGCTTCGGGCAGGCCTACCTGTGAGTCTACCACCATCCGCTCAGGGAATAAAGTCCACCCGAGGCTGTGTTTGCCTCATCTGGGAGCAGCTTCCTGCTTGCTGTGCTGCCCTGGCTGAGCTGAGGTGAGCTGAGCTGGGGGAGTGTGGGAGACTCACCGGTGGCTCAGCCCTGGGGAATTTCCTGTCCCTGGGAGCCAGGGTGACTCAGGGGCTTGTACCAGGTTCTGGGCGTGGGGTCAGGGGTCATGTGGGCTCAGCCTTTGTGCCATCTCCTCTGCCTTCTCTGTCAATATCTGCAAGTTTCCAGGTTCATGGTATAGTCACTGGTACCCCAAGATTTTGGAACCTTGGGGAGACTGTTCCCCTCTGGCGTGCATGTCCTCTTAGATTTTAAGAGCCAGATCTTTGCCTGCCTTTGTCCGGTGACCCCAGCACAGGCCCTGACAGGTGCGCACTTGGGAAGTGCTTTTTGGCAACTACCATTAGCATCACTGTTTTGACAGTTTATGGAGCCCTTGCCCTGTGCCAGGTGCTCAGAGCCTGGAGGACACAACACTTGGGCAGATGGTGAGGAGCCGAGGGCCTGAGAGGCCAGGTGCTGGGATTCCCTCAGAGGGCACCCCCGCCGTGGCGCTGGCCGAGGTGTCGTCTCTACTCTTCTGGGGCCTCGGGTTTCTGAGCCCTTATTGTCCGGGTGTGGTCCACCTGTCTTCTACCCTGGAAAGGTGGAGGTGGAGCTATTGGAGTTGGGAGGGAATGTTATGGGGCATCCCTATCAGTGGTTCTCAACTTTCTGGCCCTTTAAATACAGTTCCTCATGTTGTGACCCAACCATGAAATTATTTTTGTTGCTACTTCATAACTGTAATGTTGCTACTGTTATGAATCGTAATGTAAATATCTGATATGCAGAATGGTCTTAGACGACCCCTGTGAAAGGGTTGTTCGACCGCCAAAGGGGTCGCGACCCACAGGTTGAGAAACCGCTGCTATAGATGCTCATAGGGTCTGGGGGAAGGGACTTCCTGGGGATTCCAAGTTGCTGGTTTTTTAAATGTTTTTATTTCAGAGATGAAGGGAGAGAGAGAGATAGAAACATCAATGATGAGAGGAAATCATCGATCGATTGCCTCCTGCACACCCCCTATTGGGGATCAAGCCCGCAACCTGGGCATGTGCCCTTGACCGGAATCGAACCCAGGACCCTTCAGTCTGCAGGCCGACACTCTATCTGGCTAGGGCTAGTTGCTGCTTTTAAAATTGTGGTAAAACTGTTCTTAAAATAAGATAATATTTGCATTTTAACCACTTTTAAGTGGCATTAAGTCCATTCATATTGTTGTGTCCATCACCACCAGTCCACCCACAGGACTTTTTATTATCTTGCAAAACTGAAACTCTGTATCCATTAAACAACAGCTACCCCGGCCCGCCCCCTCCCTCCCTGGCAGCCACCCTGCTACTTTCTGTTTCTGTGAGGACTCAGAGTTTGACACTTTGTCTGCCCTGCCCAGAATCTCCCCGGAGTGCCCTCGCCAGGCAGCGATGCCAGGATGCCCGTCTCTACCTCCGTCCACCAGGACGGCAGCCAGGAGCGGCCCGTGAGCCTGACCTCCACCGCGAGCCTGACCTCCACCGCGTCCTCTTCAGGCTCCTCCCGGGACAGCCGAGGCGCCATGGAGGAGCCCAGCGGCCCTGAGGCCTTCACCAAGAACGGGGCCGGCTCCCCGCGTGGCAGGCACCCCCCCAACAGCAACAACAACTCCAGCACCCGGCCTAACAAGAAGGGACCCCTGTCCCCATTCAACAGCCGGGCAGCCGCGGCGCCTGCGCACAAGCTCAGCTACTTGGGCCGGGTGGTGCGGGAAATCGTGGAAACGGAGCGCATGTACGTGCAGGACCTGCGCAGCATCGTGGAGGTAAGGAGCGGGGGCGCCCGCCTCCTCCTCTCGGGGTGGCCTTGCAGCCCAGCTCTGGCGCATAAACCTGCCGCCGCCCGGAAGGACAGTTCTCCCCGACTCATGTATCCTGGAGGTCTGCTTCCCCGGGACAGGTGGGGAAGCCGATCCTCTCCGCCCTGACGGCTGAGGCTCACACTGCCATGTGACTCGGGGTCAGACCACTTGCTCCGCCAGCAGAACTTACTGTCGGTCCCCAGGGAGTAGACACCCTTGGCGAGGAGGGAAGGGACTCTGGTGCTCCGTGGAGACGGACTCTGGATCCCGCTCTGTTGTTCCCTAGCTGTGCGGTCTCAGGCACTGGGTAGCCGCTGAGGTTCCTCATTTGTAAATGAAGATCGATGCACCTGTGCAGGTGAAGTGTGCACACTGTGCCGGGCACACAGGAGGAGGTGGCTGCCGCTGCGGAAGCCGCCTGCGGAGGGAGGTGTATTGGTTTCGCACGGCTGCTGTAACAAATTACCACAGACCCAGTGGCTTAAGACGCAGCCATTTCTTCTGTCTCTCTCGGAGCAGGAGGCCAGAAGTTAGAACCCAGATGTTGGTGGGGTAGTTCCTTCTGGCAGCTCTGAGGGGCTGCCTTCCAGGCCTCCTCCTGCGGAGGGAGGTGTATTGGTTTCGCACGGCTGCTGTAACAGATTACCACAGACCCAGCGGCTTAAGACGCAGCCATTTCTTCTGTCTCTCTTGGAGCAGGAGGCCAGAAGTTGGAAACCCAGATGTTGGTAGGGTCGTTCCTTCTGGCGGCTCTGAGGGGGCTGCCTTCCAGGCCTCCTTCCTGTTCCTGGTGGTTGCTGGCCTTCCTCCTGTGCCGTGGCCTCTGGCTGCATCACCACCATCTCTGCCTCGTCTTCACGTTGCCTTCTTCTCCGCCTCTGTGGTTCTCTCTTATAAGGACACTGGTCATTGGACTTAGGACCCACCCTAAATCCAGAGTGATGGCATCTTGAGATCCTTAACTAGTCGCATCTACAAAAACCCTGTTTCCAAATAAGTTCACGTTCTGAAGTTCCATGTGGATGTTAATTTTTGGGTGGAACTATCCAACCCAGTATAGTAGGTGATGCCTGTGAAATCGCGCTATAGCTGTAAAACGAGGCACGGAAGTGAGGTGTGGCTGGGGGGCACGGGATTGTGCGGGAGGGGCTGCGTTCTGATGCCTCTCTCCCTGCAGGACTACCTCCTGAAGATCATTGACACCCCTGGGCTGCTGCAGCCAGAACAAGTCAGCGCCCTCTTTGGGAACATAGAAAGCATCTATGCACTGAACAGGTATGAGTGGGTCCGACGTACACCCGGTCCTGCCTGTGAGGCCCGTTTTGGGGCCTAGAGAGGAATCCTGGGTGTCCTGGGCGGTGGCGTGTGGGCCCAGGGCCTGATCTCTGAGGATGGGGGAGGATGGTCCATCCCTATACAGAAGTATAGCTGCTCCCTGCAGGGGAGAGGACCTGTGGGACCATGTGCCCTGGGGCCTTGTGCTTGCTGGGTTCAGCCTGGGCCACGCCCCCTCAGGGGACTGCTAGACCCTTGCCCTGATACGCTCCCCTCTAGCTCTCTGTGCCCCTTTGTCCCTCTCATTTTTGTCTCCCACTTGCACATCTCTTAGTTTCTTCTCCATCTTCTTACCCCATGGGAAGTCCGGGCTCCCTGGAGGTGATCTGACCCTTTGCAGGGGTGGGGGACGTCCGGCCCGTGGTCCGTATAAGGCTCGAGAAATCATTTGGTCTGGCCCTGCCAAGGCATTAGGGGTGAGCTAATTAAATGTTTGACCACGTATAGCAGGATAATTTTATTTATTTTAATATATTTTTATTGATTTCAGAGAGAAAGGGAGAGGGAGGGAGAGAGAGAAACATCAGTGATGAGAGAGAATCATTGATTGGCTGCCTCCTGCATGCCCCCTACTGGGGATGGAGCCCACAACCCGGGCATGTGCCCTTGACCAGAATCAAACCCGGGACCCTTCAGTCTGAAGACCCACACTCCATCCACTGAGCCACACCGGATAGGGCATAGCAGGCTAATTTTAAAGTTGATAAATTTGTATGATCCACGAATGATGTTATAAATATCCAAATGGTCCTGGGCAGAAAAAAGGTTCCCCACCCCTGCTTTAGGGGAATGCACAGGTCAGGCAAGATGTGGTGGGGGAGGCCGAACAAGGCCTGGTGAGGGTTGCTTCAGGGCAGAGGGGCTCCTTGAGGATCCAGAGTGTGCCGCCTGGGCCCACAGATGCCCCAGGGAAGGGCACTGGTCAGGAGGAGCAGAGCTGACGGGTCAGTGTCGGCAGTTCAGGAGGCACCTTGCCCCGGGCCCTTTAAGATGGGCAGGGAGACTTCCTGCTGTGCCAGCCGGAGAAGTCTGGGAGGGAGACCGAGGCCGGGTTGTGGGGGATTGGGAAGAGGGGAGAGCCCAGGGGGAAGAGGCAGGGGGAGCACCCTCTCTAGGGTTTCCTCTAGAACAAGGGGTGCTGGGGTCTCACCCTGTTCTCTCCTTTTGAGCCGGGGGCCTCAGTTCTTTTACGAGCCCCCCCGCCCTTCTTTCTCCTTTAATCTCTGCTTTTGTGTATTTGACTCCTCTTGCCTGCAGAGGAGCCGTGTCCTCTCCCGAGGTGGGTACTGTTGTCCCTTCTTCCTCTTGCCTAGCATGTGGGTGTCCCTTGCTCCCCATCTCTGCAGTGCTGCTGGGTGCTTTCTTGGTTGCTGCCCTGGGCAGGGCTCACTTCGAGGGCGGGAGCCCTGACTCCGGCATGGCTCCGGGCTGGCTGTGTATCTGGGCAGGAGGTTGGGGAGGGGCATGGTGTGTTGGGCATGGACATGGAGGCTGCGCGTGGTCCGGGATCTGATGACCACTCTCCCCCACCTAGCCAGCTCCTCAGAGACCTGGACAACTGCAATAGCGACCCTGTGGCTGTGGCCAGCTGCTTTGTGGAAAGGGTGAGAAGGGCTGGGTGCTTGCCTCTTGTCCTCTTCCGTGGGGGCTCAGTGGGACAGGGATGCCCACCTTCTTGGGTGCCCCTCTCCAGGGGAAGTGCCAGGTGTCCTGTCTGGAATGGGGAGGGTGTTCTTGGGTGGAGCCAAGGGTTGTGGGGTGGATGGCATGTCCCAGACAGGTGGGTACAAAGATGGGCCTGCAGAGGCTCAGGGAAAGGGCACAGGGAGCAGGGGCATGTGTTGGGCGCACCTGGTTTACAGTCCAATGGGGGTTTCCCTGAAGTCACTCTTTTTGGTTTCTCCGTAGAGTCAAGAGTTTGATATCTACACCCAGTATTGCAACAACTACCCCAAGTGAGTCATTGGGGTGGGGAGGGGTGGCTGACCCCTTTGGTGAGTCTGGGGCACCCCACCTCCCATCCAGGCCTTCCCAGGTGGTGACCGCCCCTTCCCCACTCCAGCTCAGTGGCCGCCCTGACCGAGTGCATGCGGGACAAGCAGCAGGCCAAGTTCTTCCGGGACCGGCAGGCGCTGCTGCAGCACTCGCTGCCCTTGGGCTCCTACCTGCTGAAGCCCGTCCAGCGCATCCTCAAGTACCACCTGCTGCTCCAGGTAACCCAGGGCCCCCGAGGACGGGGCGGCTGGGGGAGGGGCAGGACCCTTGAGTCTGTGGGCTGCCTAAGCCCCTGTGTCCCACGCAGGAAATTGCCAAACATTTTGATGAAGAAGAGGACGGCTTCGAGGTGGTGGAGGACGCCATTGACACCATGACCTGCGTGGCCTGGTACATCAACGATATGAAGAGGAGGCATGAGCACGCGGTCCGGCTCCAGGTGCTCCGGGCTGGTGACAGCAGGAACATGCAAGGGTGGTCGGGGGTGGGGGCGTGGGGCCGCCCTGCTGGGGTGAGCTGAGGGATGGTGTCCGTGTGGGGCAGGCTCCTCTAGGGGACCCAGCACTGGTTGGGTTTTCAGGAGCTCCTTGGAATCCCAAGGGGTCCCCAGGAAGGTCATGAGAAGCCTGACCCTTTGGGTGGGGGCTTCTGGGCTGCAGGAGATTCAGTCGCTGCTCATCAACTGGAAGGGGCCCGACCTGACCATCTATGGGGAGCTGGTCCTGGAGGGCACATTCCGCCTGCACCGCGTGCGGAACGAGAAGACCTTCTTCCTCTTCGACAAAGCGCTGCTCATCACCAAGAAGCGGGGCGACCACTTTGTCTACAAGGGTCACATCCCGGTAACCAGGCTGTCACCACCTCCTCTGTCCCCTTTCCTCCTCACCGTCTTCACCTTCTTCATCGGCCCCCAGTCAGCGTGGGCGCAGCTCCATCCTTCTGCGATTACCCTCCCTCCCCAGCGGATCTCGAGGGACGGGGGCCCCCCGGTCAGCTCCCCTTCCCCCTTCCTCGTCCTTGACTGCCCTCGCCCTCCTCCCTAGTGCTCCTCCCTGATGCTGATCGAAAGCACCAGAGACTCCCTGTGCTTCACCGTCACCCACTACAAGCACAGCAAGCAGCAGTACAGCATCCAGGTGAGGGGTGGGCCAGGGGGTGGGCTGGGGGCAGGCCCACCTCCTCTGCTCGCTTAGCTGCAGGGGTCACTGTGGGCATCTCTCAGGCCCGAGCAGAGGCCCTCTTTCCACCTCGGCTGGAGCACGCCCATGTTGTGTGCCTTCGGCCCGTGGTGACCCCTGGCTCCCTCTCTTGCCTCCACCCAGGCCAAAACCGTGCAGGAGAAGCGGAACTGGACGCACCACATCAAGAGGCTCATCCTGGAGAACCACCACACCACCATCCCCCAGAAGGTGCGCTCCTGGGGCACCCACCCCAGCTCCTGAGGGGGTGCGGGGAGCGGGTGTCCTTCAGAGCCAGCTGCGGGTTCATAAGGGCCCACCCTCTGGACACTGGCATCACTGAACAGCGGGGCCTCACAGAGCACTGTGGGGGGGTCCGCGCTCACCAGAGGGGGGTGTGCGTCAGGGGATGCACGGCACCTGGCAGGGTCATAACCAGGTGGGTTTCTCCTCTCCAGGCCAAGGAAGCGATCTTGGAAATGGACTCCTATTGTGAGTGACCCTTTCTGCTGCTCTGCCCCTAATGGCACACCTTTCTCGGTCAGGCTGCGTCCCCGGGAAGCTTGGCCTGACACTGAGATTCCAGGGGGCAGGGAGGACCAGGCGGCTCCCTTTGTCAGGGCCTGGGGGTCTCCTGTGAGCCAAGGCACACGGCACCGCTGACGGGCGGACTCCGTGCCGATGCCCTGGGTGGAAGTGGATGGAAGATGCGAGACAGGGAGCTTTAGAGGCTTCTGGCCCCTGGAGTTAGGGTGGCAGCAGAGGGGTGGTCGGGTATGGTCAGAGTCAAGGCCAAGGCTGAGAGTGTCCCAGAGGCCTGATTGTCTCTCCTGGGTGCAGATCCCAACCGGTACCGCTACAGCCCAGAGCGCCTGAAGAAGGCCTGGTCCTCTCAGGATGAGGTGTCCACCCACGTTCGCCAGGGCCGCCGGCAGTCTGGTAAGGGGAGGGCTGTGTGGGCAGAGGCATCTTCATGGGACCGTTTGCAGCAGCATTTGGGGCTGGCTCTCACCGCCAGAAATCCTGGGAAGGGCGGGTGTGTGTGTGTGTGTGTGTGTGTGTGTGTGTGTGTGTGTGTGTGTGTGTGTCCTCTCCCTGTGCTGCCTCCACCAGGCACCTTTGGGCAGCCCACCTTTTCCACAGCCCTAGGCATGCTGTTCACTCAGGCCTTGGCAGCCTTCTTAGCTACCCTGCGATGGAAACTTCCCCTTCACCACTCCTGGGAGTTGGCTAGGAGTAACGCGCGACATCACGGATGGGCCCCGGCCCAGCCGTGGAACAGAGCAGAGGCAGGGCGTGGGGAAAGCAAGGCAGACTTCAAGTGGCATCAAATCCAGACGGGAAATATTTGCTTTGGGTCTCGGGGGAAAGTTCCATTTCTCTCTCCCGGGTCTTCCATGACGGGGCTCGCTGCTGTGTACTTGGCGTTTCTGGAGTGAATCGTCTACTGAGACAGAGAAGACCTTGCTGTCATCCTTAGCTCGCCCGGTGTTGTCCACATCTGTTTCCACTCGCCCTTCCGTTTGAGGCCGAGGGACCGATCGGCTTCGGTCGGCACTGCCAAACTTACTCGCGTGGGGAGAGAGCCCTGGGGAGAGAGATTCGGGTGTGACTGGCGTGGATCTCCGCGGTGCATTGGGCTTTGATTGGCCATGGCCCACGAGCTCCTTGAACAACTGTGGATTGATGCGTGAACCGCGTGATCTCGGGAAGCTGTTGCGGTTTCATTTTGTTTGCTCCCAGTGGACCTTGAACCCTGGGCAAACCTGTTCGGTTACAGACTTTGACGGTGCCATATGTCCATATGTTGAAAGCTCCACATCGGCCGTGTTAACTTCGTCAGTCTCTGGCCTCTCTGTTTGCTCACCTTCCTTCTCTCGTCCTCTTCCTGTCGCTCTAGCTTTCCCCCGTAACCTGCCACAGCTTTGCATTGGGAGCTCTGGCACACGGCGTGTTCGGTGAGTGACGGTGGTGGCAGTAGGAAGTCCACCTGTCGCATCCACACGGCAGCTGTCAAGGCAGCAGGAAATGAGCCATTTTAGAGCCTAAGTTTCCTCGTGGCTGAGAGTTTCGCTTGGAAACTCGAGAAGAGCTGGGTATTGTTTGTGTGCTTGTTTTGGGCTTTAGCTTTGACCATAATGAGAGAGAGGCATCTTTCTAAAAACACGCTTCATACTCCGGAGCCTTTAAAATAGAGGATGCTGGCCAGAGTTGAACTTCTCCCTTTCTGAAGTTGTGCAATGGCATCACTGGTGTGTGGACTGCTAGATTCTCCAGGGCCCCCAGAGGGGTGGCGGGGGGGTGAGGCTGTGGTTGCCATAGAGACAGCCTCTGTTGTGTCCATCTTTACACTGACGAGTGTTTGCTCTGATCTGTCTTAGCGTGCTTGCCTGCAGTATTCCTTTCCCTTCAGTCTGTTCGAAACCAGTCTGTTGAACTTGTGAGGAGGAGTGTGTGAAGCAGGCCAGGCAGTAGCTGAGGAGGGAGGACGGGAGGGCCTGCTCTCGGCCAGCCGCTCCGCCTGCTGCTGGGCCCTTTCTGCTTCCTCCTTCGAGGGAGCTGAGATGGGCAGATAAATAACATTGATGGATAAGTCAGGTGCTACTGTCATTTTTGGTCACTTATTAAATACTAGAAGCCCAGTGCATGAATTCGTGCATGGGTAGGATCCCTCGTCCTGGCCGCAGATTGGGGGCCATCTTGCCCATTCCCAATCAGGGCCGATTGGGGCCAGCCGGCTGGAGGAGGGGCCACAGGAGGTTGGCCAGTCGCAGGAGGTTGGCTATAGGAGCACACTGACCTCCTGGCCAGCCGGGGGGCAGGGACAGCAGGAGTTTGGCCGGCCGCGGGAGGTTGGCTGTGGGAGCAGGCGTCATAGTGACCAGTCAACCGGTCGTTTGATCGACTGGTCGTAATGGTCGCTTAAGCTTTTATATAGATAGATTCTTGATTATAAGCTCTAAAATGAAAAAGTTGAGTGTTTGATGAAAACAATTGGATGTTGGCTGCTATTGTGCAGATGGTGTGTGCACCTGCGCACACACACCTCTCAGTAGACTTTCCTTCTGGTTGCAAGTTTACTGTGGGCCTCTCATATAATGCCAGCTGGGCAAGGACAGTGTGGGCTCCGGCCAAGGCTCTCTCGGGAGGTCCCTTGTGCCTGCCTGTCTCAGGTCTGTCCCCAGAAAGGCTGGAGTACAAGGTGGTGCCCCACCAGCCTAATGCCTGTGTTTTGTATCCTGTCCCCAGAGCCCGGTCAGCCCCTGCACAGCCGGGCAACACGGGGGTGTGTGTGTGTGTGTGTGTGTGTGTGTGTGTGTGTGTGTCCTCTCCCTGTGCTGCCTCCACCAGGCACCTTTGGGCAGCCCACCTTTTCCACAGCCCTAGGCATGCTGTTCACTCAGGCCTTGGCAGCCTTCTTAGCTACCCTGCGATGGAAACTTCCCCTTCACCACTCCTGGGAGTTGGCTAGGAGTAACGCGCGACATCACGGATGGGCCCCGGCCCAGCCGTGGAACAGAGCAGAGGCAGGGCGTGGGGAAAGCAAGGCAGACTTCAAGTGGCATCAAATCCAGACGGGAAATATTTGCTTTGGGTCTCGGGGGAAAGTTCCATTTCTCTCTCCCGGGTCTTCCATGACGGGGCTCGCTGCTGTGTACTTGGCGTTTCTGGAGTGAATCGTCTACTGAGACAGAGAAGACCTTGCTGTCATCCTTAGCTCGCCCGGTGTTGTCCACATCTGTTTCCACTCGCCCTTCCGTTTGAGGCCGAGGGACCGATCGGCTTCGGTCGGCACTGCCAAACTTACTCGCGTGGGGAGAGAGCCCTGGGGAGAGAGATTCGGGTGTGACTGGCGTGGATCTCCGCGGTGCATTGGGCTTTGATTGGCCATGGCCCACGAGCTCCTTGAACAACTGTGGATTGATGCGTGAACCGCGTGATCTCGGGAAGCTGTTGCGGTTTCATTTTGTTTGCTCCCAGTGGACCTTGAACCCTGGGCAAACCTGTTCGGTTGCAGACTTTGACGGTGCCGTATGTTCATATGTTGAAAGCCCCACATTGGCCGTGTTAACTTTGTCAGTCTCTGGCCCTCTCTGATTCCTCACCTTCCTTCTATCGTCCTCTTCCTGTCGCTCTAGCTTTCCCCCGTAACCTGCCACAGCTTTGCATTGGGAGCTCTGGCACACGGCGTGTTCGGTGAGTGACGTGGTGGCAGTTAGGAAGTCCACCTGTCGCATCCACACGGCAGCTGTCAAGGCAGCAGGAAATGAGCCATTTTAGAGCCTAAGTTTCCTCGTGGCTGAGAGTTTCGCTTGGAAACTCGAGAAGAGCTGGGTATTGTTTGTGTGCTTGTTTTGGGCTTTAGCTTTGACCATAATGAGAGAGAGGCATCTTTCTAAAAACACGCTTCATACTCCGGAGCCTTTAAAATAGAGGATGCTGGCCAGAGTTGAACTTCTCCCTTTCTGAAGTTGTGCAATGGCATCACTGGTGTGTGGACTGCTAGATTCTCCAGGGCCCCCAGAGGGGTGGCGGGGGGGTGAGGCTGTGGTTGCCATAGAGACAGCCTCTGTTGTGTCCATCTTTACACTGACGAGTGTTTGCTCTGATCTGTCTTAGCGTGCTTGCCTGCAGTATTCCTTTCCCTTCAGTCTGTTCGAAACCAGTCTGTTGAACTTGTGAGGAGGAGTGTGTGAAGCAGGCCAGGCAGTAGCTGAGGAGGGAGGACGGGAGGGCCTGCTCTCGGCCAGCCGCTCCGCCTGCCGCTGGGCCCTTTCTGCTTCCTCCTTCGAGGGAGCTGAGATGGGCAGATAAATAACATTGATGGATAAGTCAGGTGCTACTGTCATTTTTGGTCACTTATTAAATACTAGAGGCCCAGTGCATGAATTCGTGCATGGGTAGGATCCCTCGTCCTGGCCGCAGATTGGGGGCCATCTTGCCCATTCCCAATCAGGGCCGATTGGGGCCAGCCGGCTGGAGGAGGGGCCACAGGAGGTTGGCCAGTTGCAGGAGGTTGGCTATAGGAGCACACTGACCTCCCGGCCAGCCAGGGGGCAGGGACAGCAGGAGTTTGGCCGGCCTCGGGAGGTTGGCTGTGGGAGCAGGCGTCATAGTGACCAGTCAACCGGTCGTTTGATCGACTGGTCGTAATGGTCGCTTAAGCTTTTATATAGATAGATTCTTGATTATAAGCTCTAAAATGAAAAAGTTGAGTGTTTGATGAAAACAATTGGATGTTGGCTGCTATTGTGCAGATGGTGTGTGCACCTGCGCACACACACCTCTCAGTAGACTTTCCTTCTGGTTGCAAGTTTACTGTGGGCCTCTCATATAATGCCAGCTGGGCAAGGACAGTGTGGGCTCCGGCCAAGGCTCTCTCGGGAGGTCCCTTGTGCCTGCCTGTCTCAGGTCTGTCCCCAGAAAGGCTGGAGTACAAGGTGGTGCCCCACCAGCCTAATGCCTGTGTTTTGTATCCTGTCCCCAGAGCCCGGTCAGCCCCTGCACAGCCGGGCAACACTCCCCAGCCAGCCGCGAGGCTTCATGGTGCCAGGCCTCATGGGCCGTAGAAAGTCGGGTGCGACCTCTGCTTTCCAGTGGGTGCTAGGAGAGGGCTCGGCCTGGGCTGCAGCTAAGGTGCTGATGTGCTCATTGCGGGGAAGGTGGGGCTTGAGTGGAGCCATGGGCCTCCAGAGATCTGGCTGGAGATACGCCTCGTTGGTCTGAAGGGGCGGTGTGGGGCTGTGGCTCCTTGGGTAAGCTGTGCTCATTCAGGGGGTTGGGGCGGTGCTGCTCTTGGGGGCTGGCGGTCATGGCAGAGGTCCCAGGGCTGATGGGAGTGGCCCTGCCTCCCCGAGGGACAGGTGTGAGGGCCGCCTCCTTTAGGCCCTAGGGCTGGGGGTTGGGGGCAAGCCTGAGTGGACTTTGAGCTGGTGATGGGCTGGTGGCGCTGTGGCTTGGGAGCAGGGCCAGGCACAGCTGTTTCCAGGCTGCGCTGACTGCCCATTCGCTTTCCTCTGCAGAGCCAACCAAACACCTGCTCCGGCAGCTCAGCGAGAAAGGTGAGTGTGAGGGGTGAGCAGCCATTCAGGTGAGCTGTAGGGCAGGGGCAGGAAGGGACGTCGGTAACCATCTGGGTGGGGGTGTTGAGGACAGTTTAGAGGGGACGTTGTCTCTGTTCCTCCCTGGAAGTGGGCCTTTTGCCAGTTGCCCTCTGTGGAGGGGGGTTGAGCCCCCGCCCCCCCCATTCCTTTCACTGTCCTCGGGTAACAGCAGGAGCAAGTGACGCTCACAGACCTGCACTGCTGTGCACCCCACCCCACCCCCGCTCTTGTTCTGTCAGTCATTCCTTTGGAAGGTGAGGGTTTGGGGAATAGGAGCCCCAGAGAGGTCTGCTCGGCCTCTGGCCCTATAAAGAGGCTCTTTCTCCTGTCCACCCATCCCCTCTCCCTCCCCTTACCATGTGCTGGGACTCTGTGGTGGTGGCAGCAACCAGAGCGGCCAGAGCAGCAGGAATGAAGGTAAGGCTGTGGGCAGAGGGGCCTGGCTGGGTCGAGAGGGGTGGGACTGCCCAGGTCAGCCCCTGGCCCCTTCAGCTCTCATCGTCTCCGTTCATTTGACAAATACCTACCAAGCACCTCCCATGTACCAGGCTCTGTCATGAGGGTCACAGAGATGAATGAGCCATGGCCCGTGCCCCAGGGACCCTTCTGTACCCTTTCCTGGAAAGACACCCTGGTGGTGGCCTGCCCAGCCTGGGTCCTCTCTCATTCTTTCCTCTTTCCGGAGCAGGCAGGCCTCTCTGGGGCTTTGAGTTCCTAACCAAGCCCCATTCCTGGCTTTCCCAGGTCCCAGCTTCCTACCATGAGAAACCTGCCCCCTCCTCTTCCCCAC